ATTTCCTATGAAGTCAGTGTGTCTTGGGTTTAACTTTGAAACAAATTTTAAAAGTTTTAAACTGAAAAAAAAAATGAAATCATACTTTTCATAGTCTTCTGTAACCTGCTTTTTCCACTTACATACCACAGACATCCATCTTTCCATGCCAACTATGTTCTTTTGAGTGGTATTTCATAACACTGATTCCCTCTCTTTTTTTAAATTTTAACACTGTGTGGGATAAAAATGTGCTATTGGATCCATTCATGTGGTGAAAACACTTTATCGTATATAAATATATAGCCAATTAGTCAGGATGTGCATTTCCTCACAGTTCTTTTAACAGCTATTATAAAAGCAACTCATTTCTTTCCATGGAGAAAGGAATTTGCAATGCGATCTGCCGACTGAATGTGTTGGTTTATGGGCAGGAAGTAAAACGTGAGGAGTAACAAGCTCAAAGTTCAGACCACATTTGGCCTTGTATGACCTTCTCTCTCTCTTTCTCTCTCTCTCTCTCTCTCTCTCTGTCTCTGTCTCTACCTTTGCTTCGATAACTTTGCTTTGGGCTTCCTTCACTTCTCTGAAACAGCCCGCTCTCTCTCTCTTTCTTTCTCTCCCTCTCTGAGAGTGTACCTATGCTTAAATAAACTTTGCTTTGTGCTTGAGCTTAACGTCGTAGTTTGCAATTCTTTCTTTACTATCGTGAACCGAGATTGCTGCTCCGGGCCTTCCGTTGACCTCCTCGGTTGAAGCTACTTTGTTACAACGCAAGTCCACACGGTGACACCCTAACCACTGAGGCTGACCTGTCTCAGGAGCCATCCTTCTCCCACCTCAGGGACTTTACTACACAGAATAACCCACAGCGGACGTTTCCCAAAGCCTGCGTTATGTAGACCCTGACACCGCAGGTAGATGCAGCAGAAGCATCCACTGCTGGCTTTATGTTAAGCCTGGTGACCTTTGATCTCTCTCTACCCCTGTTGACTGAAAAAAAAAAAGCACAACCTAAAAGTTGAGAATTATGTTTTATTCGGTGGCCTTACTGAGGACTACAGCCTGGGGTGGCAGCCCCTCAGATAGCTCTGAGGAACTGTTCCAAAGAGGTAACCGAGGAGCTAGCATATATAGGAGTTTGCTGAAAAAAACAAAACAAACACTGTTGTTGAATATGAAAAGATTACTGCTAATCACACACACACACACAAACCCCAGACATCGCAGATTAATGATTTTAGGCTCATTGACAGTATTCCATTGGTTGGCATCTTAACTGTCTGGGGCCAGTATCCTGCTTTTCTCCATCCTGAATCCCCTCAGGGTGCGCCATTGGGAACGGCCGCACTGGCTGAGGGCTTGATGGTCAGACCATTCCTCGTTTACTGAAATGGCAGGGCAACATTGCGTCCACAACCTGGTGCCAGGTAAAGGCAGGTTTTCTCATTCTTCTTAAAATCTTGGGCGTAACCATGGACAACTGTTGGCAAGTACACAAACTTGTCCTAAGGACAACCGGTATGTTCAAAGACCGAAATAGCTAAACCCAGTTTAAGGAATTGGCAAATTTTCCTAAATGCTGTCCGATCTGCAGGTTCCTGCCCTCAGTGGAGATTTCACTTACTGATTACATTATTTTTCAAGAAGTGACTGTCTCCTTTCCTCACCTTCTTGTCTCCAAGAAGCTTCTTAATGCAGGAGGTATGGGGATCCGTTCTGCCCTTTCAAACCTCAGGACCGTCCTCCTCTGGTGTACACTCTAGTAGTACAAAGACTCGGCCAGTGCCTTGAATTACAACATTTTAATTATTTTAGGCCAAACCAAATTCTTAGACAGAGAGGGCATCCTCCCCAAACCTTCTATGTAAGTGAGATGGACAGTACAAGGATTAGCTAAATGCCCATCCAAAACAAATCCCAGGAGTGGTAAGGACAATTTGCAATTGACCTGTGCTTTCTCTCAAAGGAATCTAACTGGGAGAGGGGCGCCTCTGTGTTCCCTGGCTGAAACCTAGGGCACCACTCAAGGTTGGGAACTCTGAAAGGGCGCAGGGAGTGAGACTTCTCCCTGTCACGGCAGGTTTTCCTGAGGGAGTGCAGAGGGCTGCATGGCTGAGAAACTTCCAGATGGCATGCCTGTTGGCAGGGGGTCAGGGGAAGGAACATTTGTCGATGACACGTGCAGGCCTGAGGCTTTGTTTGTTTTTGATTTATTAAGTGTTTTTCTTTTGATTATATTTATCCTTCACGTTTGTCATCTGCCAGGCTTTAGATTTGCCCATGTTCCTCAGCTACCAGTGAGTCCTCTGGTCCCATTGCCAGAGCTGCCCAGGCTTTCATTAAGAAGGCTTTTCCTTTGGATGGTACAAGGGGAAGTCCCAGCAGGCAGACCGGCAAACTCCCTTTGTCTTTCACTGCATTCCCCTCTGAGATTTCCCCACACTTTGTCCACCCATCAGGGTCCAAGTTGTTAGCTAGTTGGGGAAAGAAACAAGCCCAGGGGTATAGGGGAGGGGTTTGCTTTACCCCCTTTCTCTGTTGATACATAAGACGGTTCCTTCCAGCTGCAGTCCATATACAGGACCTATGTATGCTCTACAGCCCTGATTTAAGACCAATTTGATCCCTTAAGCTGGCAGTTCTCAGAGTGTGATCAGAGACCCTTTAGGGTGGCTATGAAGCCAACACTAGTTTTTGGTGTTTTGATTTTGAGAATAATTTAATATATTAACTTTAACATAAACTATTATATCTTAATGTCATTATTTTAAATGTGAAGAAACAGATCCTTACAAGACCAAAATAACACACAGGCCATAAGGTGGGTTTCTCCCTTTTCCTTTTTTTTAAAATTTAAACAAATGTTCACCAGGCCAGTTCAACAAGTAAGGCAAATAACGTGGATATGAACGCTGCAGTTCACAATATACCACATCTAGAACCTAGGGAGGTGCATTAGACAGAAGGGGTAGTCATTCTGATTAGACAATCAAGTAACATCATGACAAATGGATTTGCGGCATCAAAACTCTTCATTTAGATTTCTTATCTCTTAGTGATCAGAGGTCCCACGTTGTCTCCAGTCTTTTTGATACCGACCAAGGTTCGTGGCCTTCCCCAGACAATAGAAATTGACTAGAGGCCGGTCAAGGCTTTATTGGGGCCCCTGCTGCAGCAGGAGGGAGAACAAGTAACAGGTTTCCCTGCTTGCTTCCTGAGGGGTTGGGAAGTGGGGGGCTCTGAGGTGCAAGCTGTTTCCTTATATGGGGTGAGGGCAGGGGTGTATCCAGGGAGGGGTCGGGCCAGAGGGGCGGCTTAGGTTGTTTGCTCACCCCTTAGGGGGTGTTGAGTGCAGGGGGCACGCGCAGTGCCCTGCTTTTGCTCCTGACACCCTGCTTTTGCTGCCAGCTCT